GATCTTTTATTTTTTCTTGAAATTATTTCAGTAGTAATTTGATGACAAACTTCATCTTTTCTCTCAGTTTAGTTATCTTAGGTGCTTGTAATGAATTGGCGAATTGAAATTGATTGAAATCGCGTGAAATTCGAGACTAAGATGAATAATCATTCGACGATTGATTATTGATAGAATGAAATTTGAAACTTCAGAAAATGAGTGGGAACGTTGGTGTGGAGAGTTTATTGGATGGCTCGATCATACATCAGAGCACGTCGTCACTGAATGAGTACAAAACGGCTGTGATCGATGTGCAAGGAATGACGTGTCATTCGTGTGTGAATAATATCCAGGATAATATACGATCCAAGGACGGTATCAAATCGATCGTCGTTTCACTGCAAAACTGTGAAGGTATGTGTATCAACTCATAAAAGAATAGTGCAATCGAGCACATTCGATTTCACGCGTTCACTGTTCTATCAATCTGAAGATAGAAGCACGTGCAGTATGAGTGTTTGTCGCATAATAGACGTCTTGATAGTGACTTCTTCTTTCTGAAATATTTCAGCAACAGTTGAATTCAATGCATCGAAACTGAATGGTGAGAGTGTCGCTGAAATGATCGGNTATCGATATGAAGCATTTATTTGCCATCGTAAATGTATTGCATTCAGTTGTTTGTGCAAGTATATGCCGAATTTAACGGGCAACTGAATAATATTTTAGATAATTTGGTGTCAGCTGAAAGCGATAATCCGAAGTATCGCGAAGCCATAATCGACATTCAAGGAATGACTTGTCATTCATGCGTTAATAACATCCAAGATAATATGAGTTCCAAAGATGGTATCCAGTCTATTGTTGTTTCGCTGAAAGATTGCGAAGGTGTGTGATTATACCTGCGGGACGAGTTTAAATTTCAGCTCTGAGAGGAACTGAGATAGGTTGAAGGATACTCAATTGAATCATAAACGAGAAATTTTAGACAGTTGCATGAATTTACTTTTTTTGCTGATTTGTGGGGTTGAAAAAGGGGACATTTTGTGTTCAGTTTTGACACATTTGGTCATGAAGCAAATATGGTAATATGTGTGGAGAGCCATCTCTTTTCTGATTCGATTCCTCGAGACCATGTTCACGATTCGAGGAGTATT